TTTTTTTTTTTTTTTTTGCACGTTCTAATTTTTACTTTACCAAGATAATAAAAAAACTTTGGCTGGTTTTCAATGAACACATCCATGCAATATAATGACATTAATTTTCTTTTTTCTTTTACTAGTGCCTATGAATGTCAGGAAATACTGGGTTTCAATGCACATAATATATTTTGATCATAACCATCTCCCCATTACGCTTCATGTTCTCCTCTCCCTCTCCCCCTTATTCTCTTCCTCTTGTCTAATACAGTTTCTCCTCTACTTTCACGTCATCTTGTTTAGATCACACACACGAGGAAGAATACACATTACTTGTCTTTCGGAGTCTGGTTTATTTCACTTCAGCTCTCCAGTTCCATTTATTTTTCTGCAAATGGCAAAGTTTTCTTCTTTATGATTGAATAACATGCCATTGTATATGCGTACCACATTTTCTTTATCAACCCATCTGTGGACAGGAAAGTAGGCTGGTTCCATATCTTGACTACTGTGAATAGTGCTCAATGAACTTGTGCACACAGCTATCTCTATAGTACGCTGACTTTCATTTCAAAGAATGGTATGGAGGGATTGAATATTAAGCTCTAGTTTTAGTTTTTTGAAGAACCTCCATACTGGTTTCCATAGAGACTGTACTAACTTTCATACCTGTCAGCCTTGTAGAAGGGTCCCTCTTTCCCTATGTCCTCGTAGCATTGATTGTTTTTGTATTCTTGAAGATAGCCATTCTGATCGGGGTGAGATGGAATTTCAATATATTTGGATTTTCATCTATCTAGTGGCTAAAGATGTTGAACATTTTTTCTTATGCCTACTGGATGGCCATCTGTACTTTTTCTAAGAAGTGTCTGCTCTATTCATTTGCCCATTTCTTAATTTCTTTTGCTGTTGTTGAGTTCTTCATATATCCTAGATATTAATCATCTATTAGAAGAGTAGCTGGCAAAAACTTTTTCCCATTCTAAGGACATCTCTTCACCCTCTTAGTTGTTTCTTTTGCTATGCAGAAATTTTAAAATTTGATGTAGGCTCATTTGTTGATTCTTACTAGTTTTTCCTGCACCACTGGGGTCTATTCAGGAAGTCTTTGCATGGGCGATGGCTTCAAGTCTTTCCTCTATGTTTTCTTTTAGCAAGTTCAAAGGTTCAGGTCTTATACCTGAGTCTTTGATGCATTCTGAGTTGATATTTTTTACAGGGTGAGAGACAGGAATCTAGTTTCAATCATCTGCATGTGGATATCCAGTTTTTCCAAGACAATCTGTCAAAGAAGCAGTCCTTTCACTAATGTATATTTTTGGCTCCATGGTCAAAAATCATATGGACAAGTCATTTTTCAAAAGAGACACAGCGAAAATATTCACAATAAAGATAGATATTGTTTTATATAGCACTTTTGTTCAAGTTACATCTTTCTGTGTGCATATGCATAGTGAATTAGGCTCTAAAATGTACTTGGAGGTATTTAAGAGCCAATTCTACTTCTGACAAGAAGTTATTAGCTGAAACCAAGAATGAATTAGATAAACCAAGATTGAGTAGAGAGCAATGAGTTTAGTTCTAGACCTATTTATTA